ACCTTTTAAATATGACGGTCAAGTAATTTTAATATTTGATTTTATCGATGTGGCAACGATCAACAAATTATTAAATCTACACTAATCTGTATATACTACTACTGTATTTTACTACTCAGTACTATTGCTATATTAAGGATTGTAATATTGTATACAATTTGTTGACATGTCAAATGTTATAAAATATAATACATTTGCAAGAATTTAAACTGGTAAATATAATATAAACATATAATAATAATATACAATTTAACGTGGATGGTATTAGAGTTCATTGAATGGTGACCTGGTGAATCGCGGTGATTGGACGCAGTCACTAATATAATGTGTGCAGAGGTCGAGCAGGCTCCCAGATGGGTGACCACCAGGGTTCTTTGCGACGATCTATCTGCCTCACATAAAAACGCGTACCATACCGTAGCCGCCACACAAACCGAATGGAGTGTCAAAAAACCGAAGTTCATTTTATGATTTATTTTTGAGCTTCTCGCATGACATATAGTGAATTGCAAGTTAAAAATAATGGTGTGGAATATTGTCCACAGTAAAAACTAGCTATAATAACAATGTAGCTTGAAGTCTTAAAAACAATGATACTTTAACCTCCTATAGTTATTTACCCAAAGACTTCTCAATTGGCTGTGATGAAAATAGTGTTTGCATCTTTTTATCTGCTAGTCAGCAATGTCAAAAAAAAAAATAAAACACTATATGTTTCTTTAAATTTAAATAATATTCGTTATAAATGTAGTAAAATGTATAATAGTATAATAATTTGAGATTAATTGATATTTTTTTCTCAAATTAAATCTAAATTGACAATAGCAATGAACACATATTTAAATTATTAAAAAAATAACCGTCTAGTTTAAGTCGTGATAAAATGTATTTGTTGTAATGATTTATCGGTGGTGGGTTATTGGTGGTTGTTGGTTGACATCCCACCGCTTGATGCCCGATGCCAATTCTATTACTATTATACAGACAGTATCCATTATAATATAAATATTGATATACTTCAGAGTTTAAATTTTAGGATCAGATTATCAAAACAAAATACAAACGAGTCAACCCGACTAGTAACTGTCCTTGTAATTCTCTTGTGTTCTTGTAACCTAACCAATATTTGTGTTATAATACATTTTAATTTATTACTGGATAACATTTTAAGATATTTTATTTTAAAAATCTTTATCTAGATATTATTTTAGTGAGCTATTCCCAACACTGGAATCATTTCGCTTAAACATTTGATATTAATTTTTTACGATGGATATTCAACAGTTAGTTAATAATTTCTCCTCAAACGATTTTTTATATTTTGTTGTAATTCAAAAATCAACTATAAATAGATACTTCAATTTTTCCCCAAATGATTATGATAAAATATTACAACTGTCTAAAGGTACCTACATGATGAAATGTTCAAAATATTTCTACTTTTTTTGACCTATTTAGAGACGGGTCTAAAAGCTTAAACAATTAATACAAGGTTCCTCATAAGTTGTTATAATAGCAATTTTTAAATAATGAAGATACATTATGTACGATTATTTTTTTTTTGTAAGCATTTTATGTACAGATTTTTACAAAATTAGTCAATATACCGCGACCGTTATTTTGGTTAAAAATTTATAAAATGTTCAATTTTTATAGCTTAAGATCGGAAATTTAAAACGAGATTTCTCATGAGTGGGTAATACTGTTACCAAAAATCTAAAAAATATATAAGCACAGTTTTTTTTATAGAAATTTTAAGTTGAAACTTGGACGATATTAGACGTTTTATAATGCAATATTTTACTATTAGTAAAATGAGTTACTTAAATAGCTGTAAATTGTAATATAAATATAACTTTATAATATCATCTAGATAGCTACCTATATTTACCAATATTATACTATTATATGTATAGGAATATATAAGAATCAGGTGAAAATTACATTGGAATTGAAACTAAAGCAATTATTTATATTTTTATTTAATATAGGTATTACTATAGTACATTATACTCAAAAAATATTATGCAAACCATTAACCAAATAATATACATATATTTACATGGGTATAAGAAAAAAATGTAATAGTTCTATTTATTACTGAATGATATGATGTACCTACCTAGCTAAAAGCTTAAATAACTAAATCAGTGACTGTGAATATCGTTTTTAGATGATAAAAACTTGATTTTCATTTTGAGGAGGCTTTTACTGGAGATAATCTTAACTGTAATATGTTAAAATATTAAATAATGCTATATTGTAGACATAATGCGGTAAATATTATAACTTGTGAAAATATTTTTTAGATTAAAAATTGGTGGGGCGGAGGTTGCTCCCACGACTTAGTTCTAATAGCCAATATCCAATGGGGGAGGTGGCTATATAAGTAATTGTTCATTGCCACACCTAAACAAAAATAGTTCGGCGCCACTGCATACCACAGTACATTACGATTCGTTAACAATGTTAACATTCATTAATATTACACAATATTAATATATTATATAATATGTACCTACTATGATATCGAGAGAGAGAAGAATAAATGTTTTAAAATATAGAAAATCGATTTAAAACTTTTTCGACATGAAAACAGATACCTACGTTATATTAATTAGGTACCTACTTATATTGTTATGATAATATCGTTTTATTATATGACGTGTAGACGTGTAGTCAAGCTTCTTTGTTAATAAATAATAAATATGTTCGACGATAAGCGTCTGTGGGTGGTACTCAATAAAGCTACGTAGTACTTACCTTATAACAATTTATTGATTACTGACTTGTCGTTTATGTCACACTATATAATAGAATATAAATTTTAATGCAACAAATAAAAAAAACCATTTAATTAGTAATACCTAAAGGCTAAAGTTTGTAGGTAAATTTTGCATTTTACTTAAAAATGTATTATGTCTCATGTAATATAGTTGGGTATTTTGAATATATTGGTATCGAAATGTAATGTAAATAACTAATAAAGTAAATCACGAATGCATTGGGCGACTTTATAATATGCAGGTACTGAAGTTGTTTGATGTTTCTACGAAGTGGCCTCTCGTAAATAAGGCAGACCCACAATTCTAAAATCCTGCGGATACTCCACTGACCACTGTACTATAATATAGTACCTATACAATATTATGATATAGGTATATAGTGTAGTTACTGTTACTTGGATTATTCCTTTTAGGATATTTTGAACAAATCGCTTTTAATTTTGTTACTATTACTAATGCTTTCAGCTGCTAATTTTGAGCTAGGAGTGTGTCCGAATATGATGCGTATTTATTAATACTATAACTCTGCGAAGCTTTAAGCTTGAACTTGGGTCCTGTTTATTTTTTTACGTAAATATTTTGGATAAAATTGTATTATATTTTTGGAGCAAGAAGAATTAAATCGTTTCATTAGGATTTTCGACTATAATATAATTGTATGTACACTGTCCTGACTTCAGAGTGTCAGTGTGGGACATCGTTTTTTAAAGTTTTCTCCTAAGGTCAATACAAACGGACAAACGGTAAAAATGGAAGCTCGCATAATATAAAAGTGTATATCAGGTTACTATACTTAGGGTCACCAGCACTTTCGACTACTGACGAAACTGGCAATCGATTGTTATTCCTATCGATGATGATGATGATGGCCATTTTGACGCCCTGTCAAGTGTTTTATTTTGTGTTATCGACGATTTTATATTATTACGTTATGCATCCAATGAATATAATTATAATTTATAATATTACAATAATTATTAGTCAAACCAGGTGATACACAGTTGTGAGCTGTAACATAAATACTATAAGCCTATATTATAATATATAGAGACTACAAATACTACGACAATCATAATATTCAGTACCTGTACATTTTTACACATGTATAATTTTATATTAACTAGAAAAAGTAATTATATGAACATATGGCAGGTATATAATATATAATATAATATGATAGGTACAATATAAAATTATATACTGACGCGATAGAAAAAACACAATATAAAATAATAATAATAAAAATTTTGAGGGGTCACGACTGTAACACAAACAATTTTCAACTAAGTTTAAAATAGCTAAAATTCTGTACTAATCAGTAGCGTATATAGAGAACGGGGGTTAGAGGTTTAGACCCGCTCCCCCGAAATTAATTCCTATATACGCCACTGTCTGTCGCCACTGATAATAATTGTATTTTAATAGGTAATTGATTTCTCGAAAATATAAAATAAATCAAAACAATAAAAGTGTTCTCATTTTATGTTACGATAGGTGTACTTATGTCTTATATTTAATAACGATTTTAATAACCACCGGCAATATGGTCCTAATTTTTATAATCGTTGGCCACAAAGGTTAATATAGTAAAATATGATACAATAATTTTCGTCTGTATTTTTCTAGTTTACGCGTCCTACAGATTTACCGATTTGTATAGTACATATTATATACATAATATTATGCATAAGCATGAGAGTGCAAAATAGGAAAACACTGTCGGAAAAGCGCCGTATTTAAATATTCAACTGTTAATTGAAATTTGAAAAAAAATCCACGTCATATTATTATAGAATATTCGACTGTTACAATTTTAAACCGTCATAATACTCGAAGTACTTTACCGCACATTCGCTCTACCAATACGTCACAGGTCGTTATTTTACCTATACAGTATACATGCGACCTGACGCGGAGATAATTTATATGTTATTTACCATCATCGCGATTTCTTAAAAAAAATTGAAATGGTCATATACGAACGTCGAACACGGAATAATAATAATAATAAGTAAAATACTAATACATACTAATAATAATAATAATAATAATAATAATAATAATACGTTCGAGTCATAACATAATATGAATTGTCGTCTGCAGCACTTACTATTAAACAGCCAGCTCCGTTATACACTTATACATATATATAATAATACTGGAAACACTTCGCAGTCGTTAAAGGTATTGTAAATAACAATATATTAATATATTTTATACTGGCGTGTTGGTGGAAAAACTCTGATTCGTCTGTGCGTTTTGTTCTTGTTCTTGCATAACGAACGTGCCGTTGACATGAGCTTCTTCGGCTTCTTTCTGGTCGTCCTGTCGAAGGGAGGAAAAACAAATATTAAACAATTTGTATAATCATATGATAAAAATAAAAATTTGAACTGAAATAATAAATCACATTAATATTTGTTATGACTACCTATATAGATAGGTACCTATTTTAAATTATTATAAAGACAATACGCATTTGGATTTTGGAGTGCTTACATTAAAGTCGGGAGTGCTGTAGTACCCTTGTAGTTGTGTCACTGCCTTGAATACAAAACTATCGGATTCTATCAAACTTTGAACTCACACAGTCCAAAGTTGTTTGGTTACAATATTTTCAAATGTAAAGCTGCAATCCGAGAATTTATTCCCGCCATGGCGGTATTTGGGTATATTTTAAGCACATCCTATTTTGTGAGTGATATAAATGAGGCAATGAGATATTTCAGTATGCAATATGCATGTGATGGCTGTAGTATTAGTTTTAAACTTTATTTCATAATTAGTAACTCAGATAGGTACCATATGGAATTGAATACACTCAACGGCCCTAAAATGTTTGTCAAAGAAGTATATCAAAGCAGAAGTACCTATAGGTAATACTTACAAAGAAATTGAAATGGTTTTTGACATTTTTTATAGTTTGTGTACTATGGGTGTTTGATATTCACAGCGTTAGTTGTAAAGAACTCTTACTCAATAGTAGACATAATTTAAACATAATGAATTTAATATATCCGGTGACCGATAAATTCTACAATGAAAATTGTATAATGTTTTACAATATGGAATAAATAACACTGATTTTTTGGGCTCATGCTACATTGACTTATGATGTACCTACTTCTAATTGCAATATTTATTTCAATCACGTATCAGTTAAAGACAATATTGAAAATTCGTTCAGTACACGTAAAGAATCACTTTATTAGTTGAGTAAGTTATAAAATGCGTTGTATTTGTACAATAATATAAGTATCAACTTGCGCATCTGAATCAATTGATTCGTCAGTGACGAATCGTCACTATTATTATAACAGTGTATTGTATTCAGGTAACCGAATGCCAATCGACAGACATAATGAATCAAAAATCATATTTATTATTATGATATCAACATTTTTATTCAGGATCAACAAAAAGTGATGGAGTAAGTTTAATTCTTAATTTATTAGAGTATGTAGGTATTTACAGGGCTTCAGAGTTTATTATTTTCTATAGCTGTTCCTGCACGGCTGCACTGCGTTTCCGGTATAACCACGGTTATCTACTCATGCAGCTGTCCGTGCCATTGACAACTTAAATCACATGGATTTATCTCTTCTTTAAAACCTTTTAGATTCTAATAAAACTAGTATTCAAAATCGGTATCCAATATCGGTTTCAAGTATTGCATTATTATTATATTATTATAATGACCCAGGCTTAAAACCGAAAATATATTTCGATTTCGGTTTCGGATATCGGTATTTATTTTTTCCGATTTCGATTTCGGTTTTGATTACCGGTATTGGTTTTTTTCGATTTTTTTTTTAGTTTCGGTATCGATTTCGGTTCTTAACGGTTTTAACGGGTACCTATTCAAAATCGGTATCAAATATTGGTTTCAAGCCCTGGGTTTAACTACATTTCAAAATTCCAACAATTTTAATACATATATATGCATAATTTAAACATAAAAAGTTAGGTACCTAGGTGTCAAAACTAATTGTTTAACACAATGTTTAAAAATAATATATATAAAAAGGGGTGAGGGTATGCTTAAAAAATCACACTTTGGAAACCAAATATCACATTTGTTATTGTAATTTTTTATGTGGCACCGTAGCTTTTTAGGTATGGCAGACCATAAGAATTCTTCAGAAAAGTGGGGATACTGGTAACTGAATATTATAATGCGCAGGTACCCATACTAAAATTTCTCGCCACAGTAAGTTGTAGACTTGTTGATATTACTATAGTTAATAGTTATTACTTATTACTATTGGATGTCGATTTTACTTTCTACACCACAAAGATCTTAATAATTATATTATAGGTACTCAATAATAGTATTGCAGGTATACTGTATACATCTATCTAACCGACAACCGTATCGTGTATGTATCTATACTTATTCTACTTTAATATCAAAGTGTATTACTAATCGATTATTCAAGCCGACCAAGGGCGTTCGTGAAAATATTTTTTTGAGAACCGCTCCAAACTCGATTGTTTATGATACTATACGATGATCGGTGAGCGTTATATTATTTTCTATATTCACATTTTTTGATAAACTACAAAATATAATATACCTATAACCATTGAATATGAATATAATATATTTTGAGTAGGTATTCATAATCAATGATATAACTTATTATTATTTTTTCGTCTTTTTCTTTATTGCGTAACCATGCTGACACTATATTTACACCCTAGATCATAATATATAATTAGTATTTATAGTATATGATCTAAGATTTACACTTTTAAAGCGAATATAACGACGTTATACCTACGAGGTTACTACTTACTAACTATAATAATATTGCATCGTGTCAGACAAAACCTCGTTTTGGAGTTGTAATATTCTCTGTACCAATTTCCTGGTTGGCAAACAGCCAAGTATAATAGATGTAAGCTAGGTATATTATGTGAAGAAAATACAGTCATCGGTGTACCTATTGCGCTATATTAGTCATATTATTATATAAGTGCAATAGGAAATGGGAACAATATGCAGTGATTTATAAATCGTAATGAATGTTTGAAATGCGATAGGTACCTATCTAGTCGGATTAACTATAATTTATGTACATTTTCCTAACACAATACATCGGGCTACACGTTTATATAATCATATATAGGGATTAGGGATATTCCTGGTTCTATTTATCTACATATAGTATATACCCCTCAGGTGTATTAAATAAACTAATTAAATACATATAGGTGTAAAGCGGGGGAGGGGGGATAATAGAGGCTAAGTTCCCGTAAAAAATGCATGCCAATAGCTACAAATAAAAAAGTTAAAATGTTTTGTTCATATTTCTTAAACATTATAAACAACTCTATTATATTATTACTTCGCAACCAAATTCGACTGACATTAATATTGTATTGTTGTACTTACAATTATAATAACACGTATTACGTAAATGTATTATTATTATGTTTTTACCTGTTCTAATTCCTCTTTGGATAAATGTTGAACAATGGCCACCGTGTAACAGTCTCCGATCAGATTGTTCATAGTCCTGAACCTGTCCCTGTTTTGCGATATATATTTAAAAAAAAAAATTATATTATAAATAACTAATTTAGTCATAATAACCTATTATACATTTATATGTATAAGTATATAGATATTATATGTGTCCTAATGTCGTATATACCCATATAAATCATATAAAGGGTACTCACACTAGCCAATCGACGGCAAACAGTAGAGATACGTCTTCGGTGGGTATGTTGATCACGCTACACAGCATTACGACCAAGACGATGGCCGCCGATGGAATAGCTGCCGAAGACATACTTGCGGCCGTGCAAGCCAACCTGTAGTGGAATGATACCAAAATAATAAATCACTGGTTTGTGAGGGACATGTTGTATATAATTATGTGATTATTTTTATGGTTGTCATCATACAAATTTAAACATTGATTGTTATCATATTCATTGGGCTCAATTTTTTATACCTTCCGGCTTTTATTTTTAAAAAACGTCCTCGAGGGGATTCCGTAATTTGTAGCCATTAAACATTATGGTTGCACCCCATCAGCTACAGCTAGATAGGCCTGGGTGTACTATTTACATAATATATGTACTTAACTATATATTGCGATCAAACCAGTGGCGGTTTTGATAAAACACCAAGGGGGGCTATTTTCAATTTTCGGGCCTCCCCCACCATAATTAAAGCAATTCAAGCATTTAGTGTAATTTCAATTAAAAAAAGGACATGCAAAAAAGTCCAAGGGGGGGGGGGGGTTGAGCCCCCTTCGCCCCCTCTAAAAACCACCAATGGATCGAACTATAACTTGTCCGGCATTCGTATTTATATAAAAACTGGATTTTCAGTTGGATATCATAGAAAATCATGAAAATCAAACAAATTGCTTACAAAACAAATTATTTAATAATTATTTATTCAAATTCTGATTTTTGGAATTTTCAAGTACTTATCTATACTTAAAGACCTTATTTTTTTAAATAGATTTAGATTTTTAAAATAATTTTCAGAATAAATGTTCCCATATCTTCTTAACAGCTATTAAAATATGGACTTATTATCCTCTAAACAGAAAATTGATAGTAACTCAAAAACTATTCGATCAAATTATGATTTAATACTTCAACATTTTCAAAATAATAATTCACAGCAAAAAGTGGTAGTTTTCATATGAAAAAAAAGTTTTATCTCTACAGCTTAGTAATAAGTACTAGGTACTTAAATGGTATATAATCTAAGTATTTGAAAATATACTCTTTATTATGTATAATTATTAATTACAATTTCCAAAAATCAGAATTTTAACAAAAGTTTAGTAAAAAAGTAGGGTGACTGATGGGGAGCATACTTGATGTATCGTCTTGTATATTATATAATACAATACCTTTGGTGCTAAAGTCTCAATGAAAATCTAAACTCACTATAAATAATGGAAATTATCTTTCAATAGATATCTTATATAGGTACCTATATCATGTTATAGTCCATAGAGGACAGATTAATAAAATATTATGATGTACTTTTATTATATCTACTGGTTTTTGAACCATTTTTTTTACCTACTGAAATGTTCTCATAGTGGTGATATAATTGTTAAACAATGTTGTTATTGAGGTCATATATTATTAAAAGACGGTTTACGATAAAAAGGTAAAAAACAAAATCGGGAGTATCGAATGACGTGTAATTCGATACGTTATATTGTTATATAAGGTTGTATTATATATATTATATATGTATCGTAGAAACCTTTAATATCATACCCGATAGTGAAAATTTCTCCAATGCCTAGTTGCAAATTATTGATTTGTGCCAAGAACAATAGTGCTACACTCAGGTACAGAGCCGAACCGTCCATATTGATCGTACCGATTGGAAGGACAAATTTTGTGATTTTTGGATTCATCTTTAATTTTTCGTCTAACACTTTGAATGTTATTGGAAGAGACGCTGACCTAAGATAAAACATTAGATTATAAATTAAATTAAAATTGAGATGATATTAATTAATATAATCATTAAGACAACAACACGTAGGTAAAATATTTTAATGTTAGATACATATTATTTTGATTTATGAATCTTTGAGGTATTTGGTTTTCACGATTCATTCATGAGTCATCATTATAATAATTATGAAACATTAATATAATTTATTTATCAATATTTTAAGAAACAAAAATATTAATATGCTTAAAGTTTTGTATACAAATAAAGCCTGTTGAATTATTATATGATTTATTAATTATTACTACTATATAGCTATTGCTCAAATTAATATTCTTATAATTGTTTGAAATGTGTATACAGTATGAACTTATGAACTATATAATAACTCAGATATGAGTACCTATATGACTAACATTTCCATATTTTTACTTTTTACGTAATTACAGTATAAACGCCAAGTAAGCTCAGTGAGCAGTTACATAAAAGTGTGATTGAAAATGTGAATTATTTTAGTCTTTACTCTTTAGATAATATTTGTGTGTAAGTATTTAAACATTTAAAATTGTTTTTAAATTTTAAGATTATATACGTATATAAGTATATTTGGTCTTATTATATAAGTACAATTACGAAAAAATTTAAATGTATTTTTTTCAAGACTCAATACAGTAAAGATAATTTAAAAAAGTTAAATTTAAGCTCTACCAACCCAATTATTATTTTATACCATATTATATTTTTTCCTTCACTTTTCTATAATTCTTTTTAAAATTATGATTATATAATAGTTAATGAACAAATAAACATTATGGTAACTTGTTTTATATAAATTTAAAATCAAAATCATAATTTTTTTTATGAAATATAGTATGAGCATATTTCGTAATTTTTTAGTACCTACATCTAAATCCTATACCTACAGTGGAAAGTTATGTGATTCAATTGGAATTTACATATTGTTTGACAAAACCTTGGTTTCTATAATATCTGTAAAGCTTATAGTACATTAGTACCTATAGGTTAAGCTCATTGGTGTAAGGGTAGGAACAAAATATAATACAAACACAGTCATATTTTCAAAAACAAATACTGCAATAAATATTATTAATAAAGTTCCTTGAGTTTTATATTTTTTTACATTTCACGGGATGATATTTGGTTAATAGTATTATAATAATATTTTTTTTTGATTTGTTATATCAGTCAAACTTTTTATAGACGTTAACGACCATTAACGAAAAATAATCTTACTTGGAAGCAGTGGCAAAGGCAGTCGCGAGAGCGGGTCCCAGCGATACGTAGTACGGCCACGGAGACTTCTTTATGATTACGAAATAAATTACTTGTATGACTATCAGCTGATAGAACAGGAAACCGCCGACAGTCGTTGCGATGAACAAGCTGAGCTGGACCAGCGTGGTGGTGAGTTCGGCCAGTGTGATGATCTTACCGCATATGACGCTGGCCACTCCAATGGGTGTAAACCTACAGAGACGTTCTGTAATAGAGGTTACCGTAATAGGGTTGTACGTGCAACAATATAATATTAACATTATGTTATGTATAATATTATTATAGTACGGTATAAATGGATGAGGATTATAGGAACTATCTTTCATAGTTTAATTAGGTCCGGAATTGAATAAACCATGTGTGTGAGTGTACGTAGGTATACCTACATAATAATTTATTAGGTTAGACGCATGCAATAACTCAAATAAGCAGTTCAACGAAATTTACCAAATCACTCCGGTGAGTATCTTTTGCATTACTTCGTAGGTGACTGTGAAGAAGTTCAAAACAGGTCGCTTGCGTTCACCCATCGTACCCAGTACGGTTCCGAAGATCAGACAAAAGAATATTATGCCCAATGTATTTGTACCGTCTCTGAAAATGGTTTGGAAATATTGTTTGAAAGATTTTTACATATATATATATATTATATATAATATATATATTTTTTCATCCAAAACGAGTTGCTGAACAGCAGCAAGATTTATATTTATATTATGTAAGCTATGATAACGATTAAAGTATATTGAACAAAGTTAAAAGCGTGAGATATAGTATTATTATTAAATAGGTATTATCCGACCCAGCCAACTGAACTTTAATAATGTTGTAGTATTACTTGTATTTAACGACTTTTTTCAACGTTTTCGTGTTATTTTCACCCATGACGGTCTCATATTCGGTTAATGTCTGAAAAATATTCACAAACGTCACTATATACAAATCGAATGTAGTAGGTAGGTACTAAGTTACTTGGTACATAATTAGTAGTTAGTGAATGGTAATGCGCATAGTATAATAACTACTATATTTATAATTATATTAATATATTATTAGATCTCAAGACAATAAACCTTATGCGTTTCAAAAGTGATTTAAAAAGTAAAAATATTTTATACTAGGTACCTACCCTCTTAATTATAATTTTTAAATTTAGGAAATCAATTCATAAAATATTACTTCAAAGCAATAGCACTGAGCAATAATCACTGAGGACTTTTGAAAATATTAATAGTTAATGTTAATATTATACAAATGTTTAATAGTATTTATAAATTATTCCTTACTTGTTGAATTGTAGCTTGAAACAAATTTTCTGGCAATAAATTCCTAAAAAAAAGAAAATCACATAGTAAATTTAAATTTAAAATTGAAGACAGTGGTACTAATAAAATTCTATTTATAAAAATTCAAAATAATTACTACATGCAGTCATACAGAGACACAGAGTATACTAATATAGTGTTATTATTATTTATTTTATAATAGTTATCTGGTATATCAATGTAATTTTTAATTTTTGTTCTATTTCTATTTTAATTTAATTCCTATACAGTTTTGATTAGTATACAAAATTATAAAAATGACTTATTTGAATTGTGCCAAACGAATAAAATTAATATATTTTACTCACTTTCCCATATCTAAAAATCCATCCATAACGTTCATTTTTTTGGGTCCTGAAAATGACGTGGCATTTGGTAACCTTAAATCTGGGCTGCCGGGATGAACGAGCAGACCGAGCGTTAACCCCAAGCAGACATTAAAAACAGACGTAAGGACAAAATACACAATAGTTCGGACTGCAACATTGCCATTTTTGCTTATATCCAAATTAGCGGCACCTGAAAAAAAGTTCGTTCACAATGCATAATAAACTTAATAACTATGCGCGGTCTCAAGTACATTAATATAACATATTGGATTTCAATTAAAGTCTAGCTGTTCTATACTAAAATATAGTATTTAATCTGAAACAGTACCTAATATTAAGATTAAATGACAGAAATAGAAACATTTTAATTTTGGTTCACATTCAGAATTTTCAATGCTAATAAAATATGCTTAAAATAAAAATATGGTTTAGAAAAAAAATGAGTGAAATTAATGTGTTTGCGGATAAGTACCTACATAATGTACCACACCACAGTCATAAATTTAAACAATAATAATATTTGATTATGGAACACATAAAACGTACGTTTAATTATGTCTGCAGGATACAGCCTAGGTACAACGATCTAAATAAGTAATAAATATTGCAATAATAACCCCAATGAATATCAATAAAGTTAATAATAATTAATTATTATTTATTTGGGTTTATTGGTTTCTCCTGTAGTGTCTTGACGCAGCGTTCAGCGAAACAGTAATTTATAGCATTTTCTACCTCGTCGCACTAGCTGCACTAGTGCACTTTTTATGTTTCACCAGTGTAAATAAATTACTAATTATATGTTCCTAACTATGCGAGTTTTTAGCACCTAGTGCAGTGATAGTTGCAAGAGCTCCTGGAGCTCATAAGCCTTATCATTATCAAGATGAGTACCACAGATATATAAAATATTGTATTATCTTTAGTGATAAGTACTGATTTTGTGCATCATCTACACTTGCACTAGCCATGACTATTGTCTATACTAGTAGTTACAGTGGGGAATTTTAGCACCGGGGCAAAATAAGTTTGATGACTCAAATTTCACAAAAAGTATTTAAATCTATATTAACTCGCTGTAATGTATTAATGTATTGTTTTTTTTCTTTTGATTGACAAGAATATATTATATACAATCTGTAATGAAAATTGGTACAATAGGTATTATGGGGGGGGGGTTAAAGTATACATGACTGGGATGCATGATAGAAGCTCCCCTTCTATCACCCATCCCAGGTCTAATGAACCTACTTCAGTTATGCAAAAATACAGACAAATAATATATAATATCAATTAAAATACATTAAATCGTAATATAATATTATGCGATTAAGTGTTTAGTTAAGTTAGGTATAAAGTTAAAATAAATTTTAAAAGATAAGATAATGTTTAATTGATATAGGTAGTAATCAAGAAAGATTAATTATGGATTTGATTGCTTATTAAATATTGAAATGAGAATAGAATTATAATAAAAATTTGCCAACTTTCGTAGATCAGCTATACAGGCCGCAGGGATTTCTTTAAATGTAAGAGTGTAAGACACTTATGATTTTTAAAATTACCATAATTTTTGAATATATTTTATTGTTATAACTTGATAGGATTTAACTAATTTAAATACCTATTTAATTTAAATTATCAATTATAAATTATTCTACATTTTATAAGCATAGTATTTGTACGCCTAAAAATAGAATATCGAACGAGTTGTTAATTATAAGTGTTCAAGTTGAGATTGGTGGATTAGAGTACCAATATTTGAATAGAATAATAATATTATAAAATGTATACAAATATTAATTCAAAAATATATTATGACATTATAATATGTTTTTTGTAGGTAAAATGAATCCAATAGAATTTTTATTCTACTGTTATAAATGTATGATTAATACGAGTTAAAAATATATTATATTTAATACTTAATTGTATTTCTCATTATATATTTTAAATATATAACTATATAAGTTTTATATAAATACACATAAAAGTATAAAACATGATTGATTTATTTACTAATTAGTAGATTCCAAACTTCACCTATTAAAGTTCTCCGATGTTTGAAAGGACTTTGGTAATCATCTTATTTCTTAATGCAACTATAAATATAACTTATTAGAACTTACTATTATTTTAGTGAGAAGAAATTTGATAAAAAAAAATATACATGAAGGTTTAGAAATTGTCAATAAAGCTGATCAAACTGAAAACGATTCCAGTTCAGTTTTTTTCCTTTATTGAAATTCTAACTTGAAATGATTATATTTCGACAATTACAGGCAATATTAATTCAGTTCAGTTTTAATTGTGATTTTGATTTTGAATCATCAGTTATACCCACAACTCAATATTTACTAATTACTTGAAAATTGTATTTAGGTGTTATATTGAGTTACTATTGAGTATTGTTATATAAATAAAAAAATTATGCTTACCTATAATTAAACATGATATGATAAATGGTAACACCATCAACTTTAAAGTCCTCAAGAAAAGGTCTCCAGGATATGAAATTAGAGTAATAGTATCACTGCTAAGGTTCAGCGGTCTTAATATCAATCCTGAAATCAAATACAATGAAATATAATATTATATAGGGATAAAATTATAAATGTCCCTGTAAGCATTTTAATACATTTATTTATTTTGAGATGTTAAGATATAGAATATAAACCATCTTAGACTTCAATATCTGTTTTAAAATATATCATATTATTGTTATGGACGTAAAATATATTTAACACGTTGTATCATGTTATTCAGAAATTATGATAATTAATGTTGTGTTTTTAAAATTGTAGGTATTTATAAATAATAATGACGTATAAGTTATATGATACATACAAAATAGTGCATTATTAATGCCTTTGTATTTTAATTGTTGATAAAATTACATATAATGAAACCTAATTATGGAATAACGCAAAAAAATGATTTCAATAAACATAGGTCAATATAATATTTTAATTGGTTGGATCTATAATTTTGATAAAAAAAAAATCGTACTTACTTGTTAATAAGTATTGTTAATCTTTATTTTTATATTACTGATTAATTAGTAATTTTGCTAAAATGATAACAACTCTAATTTGTACATAGTTAGTTATTACAACTTTTACCATAATAGGAAATTTACAGGAGATGATATAAAACATCGAGAAATATTATGTTAAAATGTTAATCTATTGGATTGTATATCCGTACTTACTGATACAAAGTACTAATACATACTTATATTAAAATATTAAAAAACATCGATACCCTGCTGGTGTTTTCGTAAAAATATATAGACATAATCAATGCATTATGGTCATTTTGAATTTAATTCAATGATACAAATATGCATATTCAATGAATTTATAAGAGCAAAACTAATCAGATTTAACCTTTCAAAAAGTAGCTCACTTAGTAGGCTCTTAGGTAATACGTTTATAATTTCCTAAACTTTACAAAAACATATTTTTTATTACTACATTTTTATTTTTCGTCAGTTTTAACGTTTTATAACGTTTAACTAGATAATTTTTTTGGCAATTCTTAATACTCTGTGGCGGCAAATTAAACAGTTAATTAAAAAGAAAATTCACTAATCACGGCCATGAACGATGATTAACTACTAGACCAATACGTTATACACTTTTACGTGGTAATATAAACAATCCTTAATATTTACTGGTTCTAACTTATAGATAATTAATTAATGTCATATATATATATGACAATAAATAATAATACTGAATACGGATTGCTTCATTTTTTTAAACCAATAAAATTCAATATTATATTCATAATTCTTATTGCCTAGTTATTTTTTTCGAGAAAAGTGTATTCTTCCCCCTCAACATCATTCAAATTAATATTGTATACTATAATCAACACTGTTATGAAGTTAAATTATATCTAATATCCTTTGCTGCCGAAATTTTTCTGAGTTTAATAAAAAAAATAAACATCTATAAAAACTCTAATAAATTTTACCAAACAAATATAACTTAGAAGTTTAATATAGGTATACTATACCTACTTAATACTTATAAAGAGTTGTGATCAACGAAGCACAAATGTTTACCATTATGAGCGGTACAAATGTTTCTCAAGTTACTTGAGCATGTTACTTAAGTTTTTATTTAAACTAAAAAATATTTCAAAATAGTATTTAGTGTTCAAAATTGAATTTTTAAAAAGTAAAAAATAAAACAAAAACAATATCAACTACTTACTCCAACTTGTTTATATAAAAATATGTTGTCTTTTATAACCTGTGTATAAATAATATAAGTTTACTCTCACTATAAAATAAAAAAACACTTTGTTCCTTTTAAAGCATACAGAACTATTGACCTTGAGCGATTTCAAGGTTACGAGTTTGGTAAATTTGCATTTTCATAAGCTTGGAATTTGGATAGTACCTATACTACTAGTATTAGTGGTGTAATAAAATATGTTAAAATATGTAGGTACCTGTAGTAATCGTATATTGTACGTGATTCTGCGCCCACGTCAATTTTGCAAATGATATCACCTAAATGATTATTATTATTATAATATAAATCATATTAGGTACCTATAATACTTTTGAATACGTTACACCCATACATATATTTTATTTTTTTTTTGTTTAATAAACTAATTACCAATAAATCGTTCTAAAACAAGGAACTCTCGTCTCTCAGATTAGGTAAGACTATTTATTTTTGTTGAATATAGTAGTTATCTACAGACTACAATATTATATTAAAATAATAGGCTACGTTTAAGAATTAAAAGTTTAAAAATTCTAGACCTCAATAATAAATAAATAAATAAATAATTACACGTATTAATACAGCACTTTTCTCGCTCCATCTTTTCGATACGGGATAGTGCTGCATAATATTATTTATTATACATTTGAAGTCTTGAATACATCATTTCATCATTGTTTCTTGAAGGGACAATTCAAAATATTCGCAAGGATAGTAATTTTAATTTATCATTACAAATATATATAGTTAAATTAATATACAAGTACTTAATACTTAATGTAAACACAAAATTCAATACTTTTTACTCAAATTATTTACATTTATAAATAAACTTTAAAATGTTCACTTTATTTAATAAATCTAATACTAATAATCAGGAGACAGGGGTCCTAAGTTAATGCCCTAAAATTGCCTTAATAAGCATGCACTTAAGCATGGAAATTGGCAAAATTTGCATTGAAATATGCCTTAAAAACTTATAAAAAGTTCAGAAAAATGTATTTATATGCACTAAAAATATAAAACTATATTATGCACCGAAAATTGGAGATTAAAAAAAAAGAAATTATAAGAAATTTTTGGAACAACAAGAAAATATATCCATTCATATTTTTAAAAGTTATGTTTTATTTGTATAATTGTAGTTCTAAAAAACATCTATTATAGGTAATAAATAATAATCTAATAAAATAAATATCCAGTTAGTCCTTAATTTTAAAATGAAAATTCGAAAATTTTAAAACAATTCCCATAATATATTTTATCCTGTATACAAAATTTCTACCAGAAGGAGTACTTTGATTTTAACATATAGTATCTTATCTTTTAGCAAACTGGATCAAGATGGTACTTTAGAGAGGTCATTTTCGATTTTCTCAATAGTTATTTAATGCCACGGGAAAAATCACCGACAAATTACGAAAAACCGATAAAAGCGGAATTTTGATTTCTAACTTTTTGTTTATCACCATAGAAACGAATAAAAATAATAGTATTATAATATTAATTAAACTTACAGAATATAATAAATAATAACAATATAAAATATCCAGACTGTGAAACCGTCTCCACTCAGAATCATTTTTCTTATACAATGATATTATATCATTGAATTCAAGTTTAATACAAGCCATTATACATTGATCCACTTGTAACCTACTGTATACAACAGAGTGACATCCACTTATCCACTTTTTATAATAATTTATATGTAGGTAGGTATGCTAGGGGGTGGCCGATTTTAAAGTCATTCCCTTTAGTTAGAATGTATTATAACACATATAGTAACCGCTCTAATAAATCCTAGAGACTGTTGTCAACAGTAGTTATATATATTATATATATTATACTTGTATGGCTCATCAAATGAAAAATATATTCTCAGTTGATCTAAATCAAAAAAGTTTGTCCAACCCTGCGGGCTGCGAGAGTGTACTGTAAGCAGTAGAGTATTTATGGGGGGGGGGAGGATCAAGGCGATCAATCCCCCCTAGGCTATATTATAATATGCAAACTTTTCGGAGTCCTTACTTAATGCCTCTAACTTTAAAGCCACTGACTGCTATACCTATTATAACAGTATAACACAGTTTTGAACTAAGATTCAGGAGAATACCTATTTTTCCGGCTATAGTTGGTTTTAAGTAATTTCGTTCCTCCATGACAATTAATAATTTTTAATATTTCATTGTTGCATATTGTAGGTTCTACTACTACGTCATATTCTATAAATTAAAACTATTTAGGTGTTTCTTTCACGACTTTCAGCAGAGGTAAGTTTAATGCACTTGATCGAATAACTACAAGACCTTATCGCTATAGATAATATTATACAAAATGGCATTTTAAAATACGTAGATTTCATAGTTTATCTGAATAATAATAACTATAATAACACCTAATTATAATTATACATTCAATTGTATGTAGGAATCGTGTAATAAAATACAAACAATATTACAAAATGTACTAATTTCAATCAATTAGTATGGATTATAGAATATTGAAAATATATCTAATCGAAGAAATAGGTATTAATTATATTGTGTTCAATGTGTTGAGTTAGTATAAAATGTACCTACCTACATTATGTAAATTATATATTTTTGTGGAATTTAAAGGTTGATCAATAAATCTAATGACTTGATAATAGACGTATTTTATTTATCAAGTTTAAATGCGTATCTATACCTATACTGGAATTTAAGAAAATACATAATATTATGTATAGTAGATAGTTGGCACGTGATAAAAACTGTACTAAATTTAGATTTTTCCCCACAAACTGGACTGAGTCTACAAAAAAGTAACAATAATATAATATGTATAGCCGATATAGGTATAATAGTGCTGATCCTACTTGATGTGAAAACTCTGTGATCAGGTGGTAAGATTTTCACACAAAATAAAAACCACAGTAAATTGTCGATGAATAACATTGTAGGTACCAATACGATTAATAGTAATATATTTACTGAAATTGAAGTACCTTATTTTCAATATTGGAACAATATTACTACTCGCATGATATTATTATTACTTTTAGCTGTTTGTCGCATATAATATGTTTAACCATGACGTACTCACCCAAGATCACTCCGAATACGACCGATACCAAGATGAATATGAGTAACTTGTTGGACGTTAGCCATTTCACGGCCGTGTTCACGTTGGGCGAATTCTTGACCTTTGAAATGATGGTGAACGTCGACTCTGCCCGTTGTCTTTCCATGTCGTCTGCGAAAAAAAAAACATTGTTTGACGCGTATAATAATAATATGGAGGTACCTATTATTACGTAAAAATGGTGTATCGTATTTAGTTTTGGATTTCGAGAGGTCCGATACAATATAATTTTAATATTAAATAGTAGGTACTGTAATCATATCTAACGAGGTCGAAAAACGACTTACAGGTATAATATTATGATGTTTAACCGCGTCAAACTCAGCTGCAGTGGCGCGTTCGTAAAGATCGATTTCCCGCAAGTGTTGAAGACTGCGGTACCAGCTACTACCTATTATAGTATAGCGGTATAATATATAGCGATACCGCGGTAAAGGGTAATAGGTAAACTGGGTATAATATGTCACGATTAATTAATGGTCACTACTGGTATAACTCGACCGGAAGATTTGCAGGCCGCCGTCGTCGCGCCGCACGAAAAAATGCGAGGAGCGTCGTGATTTCTGCAGTGCAAACGCGCGACAAACTGCTGGAGAATACGCGGGCAGAACAAAACCGCACACACGACGACGACAACAACGACAACAACGACTACCTCTACACGATGATGACGAGATGATGGTTAATAACAACAACAATAATAGTAATAGTGCATCGTGCGAGCGTGTTGTACCTGCACACACACGGTCGTTTTTTACAAGTGAATTATACGCTTGTGCGTGGTTCGACGGTTACCTGGGTGGTGGTAACCCGGGGGGAACTGGTTTTCGGGACGAGAATGTCGGACGCCGACGCGGTCGCTTGCATGCGCTTGGCGCGACGACGCTCCAGCCGACCGCGACGGCGTGTACATCGGTGATACACTATATGCCGCCGCCGCTGACAATATATTATTATTATTTTATCGTTATTGTGTTCGAGCGCAGTGCGTGTGTAATAAAAACTAAATTATTTTATTACATATGACGGTCGGTCGGTCTTCATCGGACCGGGTGCGGGGGAAACTGCGACGGGCCACGCGATTTTGACACCGTGCGCGCCTCGGGAGAAACGAAAACCGCTAGAAAATATTATTGCTGCCGTTAAGTAGGCCTGTTATAATAGTACAGGTACAATTTAATGTGCTGTAATACTCGGTAATAGTATACCTACCTCTTAAAGTATGCCTCACCGATTTAGTCCGTACGGGGTCACGACGACGGACTAACGGTTATCGAGTGTATTAAAAAGTATCCCAACAAAAACAATCCGTGTAAAAAAAAAAAACGCTGAGTAGGTACAAAAAAAAAAACGGCTTTAAAAGTTGTTGTGATATAATTTTATAGGTACCTAAATCTTTGAACTATAGATTATCGCATTTATGTTAAATTAATCTGCTTAAAAATTGAACTGAGCTCGATTTCGCTAAACATTTTTTAGCAGATTATTTTAACATATATTATACATAAGTTCATGTATCCAGTTCATATTATCTAGTTTATATGTCTAGTTCAAATACTTAGCTATACCTATAAAATTATATCACAACTTTTAGAGCCGTTTTTTTATACTTAGAGTTTTTTTTACACTGAGTGTTTTGGGATATCACTCATTTTTTGTCGATACCTACATTTTTATTTTATCGTGTTTACTTGAGATTGATCAGTCCAGCCCCCCCCCCCCCCAACATCTATAAATTTAGCTTGAATTTTTGAAATTCCGGAATTTCCAAACGTTGATTATTCGGGATTTAAATCAGAAATCTTAAAATGTGGACTGACCGATCTCAAATAGACATTTTAACGAATTCAGATCAGTTTTCTGAAATATTATCGCATTATTAGATCGAACGGTAGGATGGAACAAAAAAAAAAAAAAGCGAGAGCGGTAATAAGTTGTAGAGACGGTCCGTGAAAGATTGATTATAATTTATAAATATCTTGGGTGTATTGATAATATAATTATTGATAATACGATCACTACACACGTATATTATGCGTTTATAATAATCATTATAATTAATAAAATATATATGTAATAACTAATAAGTAATAAGTATATTATAGTATATGTATATTATATAAGTATTGAATTGTACGCAGATAATATATTTTTTGTCACACCTGCACCGAAAGTTTGGTTTTCGATAGCGGCTGAAGGGTTCGAAAGAGTCCTTTTTCCGTCTAGCGGGCGGTAAAGTGGGAATCCCCTTAGTGCCGAGCGAAAAAGTGGAAATCCCCAAAAGTGCTGGGCGCGTATATCCCGAGTATTCGAGTACTCCATGCACAACCAGACACTGAAATCTATACCACGGTCCTTACAAAACATAAACTTTTATCTTATATACATATTATAATCTCCTTGCATGACATTTTTATTTCATGAAATTGCTTTCGTAGAATAATCTGATCGTTGCTTATATTCTTATATAGTGCTTTACCTTTGCCGTGATTACATTTTTATGTGCGTCGCGTTTGCTATAGACTAGGTAATAGAAAGCGGGTATAACTTGAGGATTGGAAACAGCGTAATAAGATCTGCATATTATTATGCATTATTTTATAATTATTATAATTATTTATAAATTATAACAATTTGGTGATAAGAAATAGGAAACTTTTAAAACTTTCCTTGTGGACACATTTAATTTACAAAATATGATAAACAATCCAGCAGAATCTACTACGAGAGAGATGACACCACTATACCGATGCAGTATTTTCAAGATTTTTGGAAAAAATTACATCACAAACATATCTATCATATTCCAGCTATCACATACCGGTAATTTCAATTATTGAATATGATTAATATGATAGTAATTAAATGGTAATAATAATCATTTTCATTTTCATTTATTTTTCACATTTACTTATTGATATTTAATTTTATTTTGAATGGTTCCACTAAAATGTATTAATTATTATCTATAATATTTGTTGGAAAAGAAACTTCGTTTCTACCGGCTGTTCCATGACAGCACTCCCTTTTTTTTATATTCTACAAACTTATAACTTATATAAATAATATTTGAATAGTATGAAAATTCAAAATTAACTTATTGTGAATATTAAAAACAATATAAGTTGATTTTAAGTTAACGTAGATACAAATAAGTTAAGTTAATAAGTTTAAAATAAATTTACTTTTAACTTATCAACTCGTTAATGCTCAGCCTTAAATTATTAATTCATATGGTGATGTACGAAAACGGTTTTTGAGGTAATATATTGTATTAAAGTCATCTAACTTACCTATGGCCCCGTATTTCTTAGAATATTTCTACTTTTCTTTTTTTTCGGTGGTGAGTGAGGAGGAGGGGGGTGGTGTATGATAGGTGATGATGACCACCAGAAAAATACTATATTTGAGTTTCACAACGTTTCTATTTATTTAGAATATTGTATAAATAAAACATAAATATGAAAACAAATATAGGTAATACCATTATGGCCGTCATCAGTCATCAACACAGTAAATATGCCCAATACCTAATTATGGTATGCAAAGGGTGTCTCACAGGCCTCCGTAGCGTATTATTTACGGTATAGACGATGATCAATTATATAATATAAAATAAATTATCATTCTCCATCGTCCTTGGTTTACGCAATATTTCTGCAGGACATCAAGATTTTAATGAACAATAATAATTTTAAGTTTTAACCAATAAATTATGATTAATATATATCCTTGCATTTGGTAGCACGTGTAGAAGAATATTTATTTATTTGGTATTAAACGGGCGAGGCCCTATTACGGATAATAATAATATGAATATTGAATAGTATTACAATCATTTGTGAATTCGTGTGAATACATGATATTTAAATTCAATAATTTATAAAATAATAATATTATAAAAAATATGCATGAGTGTTATTATGAGTTAAGAATTAAAAATATACAATACAACTTAAATAAATATAAGTTTGGTGAGTTGAACATTTCTATTTCCAGGTTGTTAATGTTTGCATAATTCTGTTACAGAGAGTGTTAATTACTGCATAATTAGTAACTTGTAGGTTTAAATAAAATAGGTTTTTATCGGTGAAACACGATTGCGTACGGTCTTTATTGACATACGCAATCGTGAACATTTAATGTTCACGGTTGCGTACGATTTTTATCTGCAACTTTGAAGCACTGTTGCCATTTGCTTTGAACTAATAGAACATACAAATTTATTACCAAATAAATCAAAGCAAATTTACACAGACATGTGGTTGTTTTTACAAGAACTATGCGAACAAATTATTTTTAAAAAATTGTTGGTTCTTAAACTACATTTGGATTTTGAAATCGGTGCCCATGAAGCGGCAAAAGAAGTTTTCCCCAACATCGAAATAGATGCATGTCGTTTTCACTTAGGACAGTCTTGGTGGCGCAAAGTGAGTTTATTGAATTAAATAAATTAAGACCGATAGTACATTTGGGATATTTTTAGATTAATTCTGAAAAAGAACTTCGCTTGGCCTACACTAAAAACTCCGATTTGGGAAAATGGTTAAAACTTTTTTTTGGATTACCATTTTTACCTTTTCAAGATATCCAAAATGCGTTTGGTGAACTCATATCAATTTGTCCCGATTTAAATATTGGATGTTTGTTTTCTGACTACATTTTAAATACATACGTGGAGAATGGTTGTTTATTTCCACCGGAAGTTTGGGCACAAGAGCCATCCGAAAATCCCCGGTAAATATTAAACTATATAATTGTTATAATAACTATATAATTAAGCATTTATTATTTTTTTTTTTTTAAGTACGACAAACGGATCTGAAAGTTTTCATCGAACTTACAACGCTCAATTTCATAGCTCCCATCCTTCCGTCCATGTAGTTATTTCAATTCTAAAAGAAACGCAAGAGGAAACATGTACCAAAATTCAATCAGTATTTAAAGGTCGGATTAAAAAAATGGAAAATTCTGATTTAAATCGTATAAAAAAAGCCATGAAAGAATATAACAAGTACAAAATTCATAAAAATATTATAACATATTTGTCAAAAATTTGTTATATAAGTGGTACCAAGGTATAACATTTTTATTATATTATTTTAACCTTTTATTATTTTTAATAATTTATTTTATATACTATATTATAACATATTTGTCAAAATTTGAGATTTTTAAGTGGTACCAAGGTATAACATTTGTTATTATATTATTTTAACCTTTTATTATTTTTAATAATTTATTTTATATACTATATTATAACATTTTTTGTCAAAAATTGAGTTTTTAAGTGGTACCATATCTTAAGTAATTTTTTTAAAATTTAAATTTTAATGATTACACATAAAAACATAAACTTGGCAACGTTGCACAGCAAATCATACGCAATCGTTTGACTTTTGGGGTAAATATTAAAGTTAATGGTTTAACGTACGCAATCGTGTTAACGTACGCAATCGTGTTCTTAAAAAGGTACATCGTACGCAATCGTGTGGTACCCGTTTTTATACCATGTATTACTAGTTGGAGTAGAGAAAGATAAAAGGCTCTAAAAAATTAGGGAGAATCAATGTTATCAACCAAAAGCTTATATAGTAAACAAGGTAATTCTAGACTTATTCAACGCTGTGAAGAAGAAGGGTCGGTCTTTGGTCAAAGTACGAAAAAATCATCCTTAGAAAGTTATAGCTACGAAAGAGGGAGGTAGGGATGCCCGGATGCTGTAAAGAAATGTGTGCCTATGACAACACAATCCTAAATATGGCACTGGTGTTGTACTGGTGTCTCACTGTGTTTGTTCCGAACACGTCCGTCGTCCGATCGTAACTGTATATAAATATAACATATAGATTCCTAACTTACTTCTCTATCTTCTGCCTATAATTTATTAATATATAACGTACCTAAATTTACTTCTTCTTTGTAAAAAACTTTATTTTAAATTGTTCATTTATGTTTTTATTTCTAATACCTAATTGTTGATATTATAATTTACTATTTTACTATTATAATTTAAATATTGGAAGTTAAATAAAAAAAAAATTAAAGTGCCTAACCATATAATTATTTGAATACTTAATAGAAATTCATAATTCAGGTTTCGAAAGATTTATAAGTGAGCAAACTCAGATTTTTAAGAGAACAAGAAAACGAATAACTGTATAATATTTTTAATTTTTTGATTATTAGATAACATATAGCTAAGTAGACTCGCGAGGCCAGTAGGCAGTATTATAATGATGGCGTAATCTTAAAAATGTTGACAAACCGCTCCCATATGTACTTTTCTTTAGGCGTAGGTATAAGATTTCTATGTTAATCGGTTTTTGATTTTTTTATTCTTTGATTTTTGTTTTTACAACGTTGTGTAAACTGCATAATATAATATGTAATACTATATGCCTATTGGTAAATAGGTGAAAAAACCAGATAGCATTTAATTATTTCATTACCTAAATATTTTGAGTTTTGAACATTCACTTCGATATCAGATTTAATTTTGAAACATACGAGTTCAAAAACGAGTAGTCGATACGTTATAAGTATATTTATATAATTATATTATATACTTATAATATAGTTAACATTAAGATTTTAAGATGGTGAAATACAACAAGTAGACGCAGACATGTGAAATTTATGCTTAAATTGATAATATTATGCTACGTATTAGAGATTAATATTTGATAAAATATAATATGTACCTTTTGTCGAACTACGTTGTATTATTTTTGAATTTTCTGCGCAAACTCAAATTACTTAATTTGTATTCATCAACATTTTCAAAAAAACATCTCCTTACAAGTTACAATAAATAATGGGAGTTAATATTAACGAAAGAAGTTTTTGTGTGAAAATATGGGCCTTATAGCTTATTATATCAGAATGTTTGAGAAGTTTAAAAACTAGAATTTTAACAATTTAATTTGTGACACACACACACACACACACATACACACGCACCTTAGAGTTCAAGCCTCTCCAAATAAGAAGCTATATATATTTTACGGCCCTTGAGTTGTCCAAATTCAAAACTTTGGAAGTTCATATCTCAGCTTTGGATGACTAGCAAATTTTGGGGATGGTCTAGCAACTTTTATAGCTGGCTGCTGGCCGTATATAAATATTTTACTTATCTACAATGTACCTATAAATTATTTGTCGTTTTAACTCTTTCAAGATAATTATGTGTAATGTACTAATAATGTACATTCTAATTAAATACCTAATACCTATATTATGTTATTATAAAGTAATTTATTAATTAATTTCAATTTAATTCTATATACCTACGTCTTATAACGTCATACCTTATTTGTATTTAGGTAAATGGAATTATGTAATAGTTTATACGGGCATTTCTATTTTATGATATATAATAAATATATAATACAATTATTGTAAAACGAATTAAATGAGAACGCAGTTTAAATGTTTTGTTTACAAACATATCCCAAAATGTGTATAAATACTAAATGTCTCAACGGAAATAAAATTTTAAACTATAATTATATTATTGTATTTTACTTTTATCTTAATTATGATTTAGTTTTAGTTATTTTAGTGATTATTGATGGAGTTTGTACTTGACATAGGTAGGTTACATAGTAGGTATACCTACTTATTTATATTTGTCCACTATAAGCACACACAATAAATTATACTCCCGCCACCCAGCCGTTTTCATTTCGTATACTAAACTGTCAAACATAGTTTAATAAAAAATAATATTAATTATAATTTATAAGTAATCCTTTTATATTCTATGATAAGAACCACGGTGGCGGTGTTTTAATTAAAGCGTGAAAGCGGTGATGATCAGTCTTTATCGAACACAGTAGTCAGTAACACATGCATAACATAGGAATTTAGATGTGTTCTATTTCCAACGTACCGATCGACCTAGTAAAGCAATCATAATTCTGAAAACGATTTGAATTCGAAATTACGTCTATGTTTGAGATCGACTTCTATTTTATTGATCTTGTATCTCCTAAATCATAGACAATTTGAAATTAAAATTTGCCATATTTAAATTTTTGGAGAAAAATTAAAAATAGTGGGGAAATTGATCCTATATAGATCTATAGATCAATTTGTAAGTGTTAGATAAAGACAGAATCACCGCTTTCAATTGTAAGTTTTAGCATTGATTTTATAATATACTATAATATAAATATATATACTATATATATTTATATATTATAAAATCAATGGTTTTAGTAAACTGTTACCAGTTGATTTTTCTGTTCATCAGGTTCGTCTGCTTGGTCAAGAAGTTAAACTATATAAAATAAATAGTGCTTTCAACAAATTGCATAAATATGGTTATGTCTTCATTCCATTATATTATAATAATATGTCATTCATAAAATATATCCTGATTTATTTCTTAAATATATAAGCTTCAAACCCGCTCCTATATTAAGCAGCTAAATGATATATAACATAGAAAGTAATAAAAACAATGATTATATCCTATGACAAGATAAAATCTAAAACATAAATGATTGATATTAATTATTATATATTTTAGTGTAGACCGTATACTCCGGCCCACGAGAGTTCATACGTAAACCGCACATCGATATAGTAATACGCGACGTCTGTTTTCTCCCACCATGATGTCATTCCCACTATTCGGCAACATGCAGATGCGCAGCGTCGGACGAGTTTTAACGGACGTTCTCTCGTGGCCCGGAGTATAGGTAATATAAAGTATAGGTATTACAATTTTATAAGCTCCAAAGAAACAGGCAAACTATAAATTATTTGGGTTAAATAATAGTTTACTTTACAAAAAATCTCTATAAATATAACACTGATGAAAATCTAAATTCTACGTCATTGTACTTATGTTTATACTAATTTGTTTTATATGTTCGCTAATCACAATTTTCAATAGTTTGTCATATAAAAAAATATTTTGTTTGGCTGTTTTTTTTGTTTTCATATAATATATCTAAATATTTAATTTTCAGAATAGATATTGGATTCTGAATAAATATTTTCGTTCTGGTTTGTTATCGCCTCTCTATTCCACTCTATAATAATCAATTTATCATATATATTTATAATCTAATAATTTGATGAATTTCGGTAAAAACAACCTATTACGTACCTATTATTATTAAAGGTGTACTATAGGTATTTATTACTAATGGGTTGTTAAACCTATAACCAAACACCCAACGATACATAAGAAAGTATCAAACGATCAAATACCAAACTTGTTTGTTTTAGAGCAGGTTCCATAATTTTTTCTGACAGCTGGAAAGCTAATGGTATTTTTTCAACCACATGGGTTTCAATATAATCTATATAATTAATCATAGATCCAACTTTGTGGACTTGTTTTTAGAGGGGGCTACACACAAAATTTGGAGTTACAGGAGGTTACAGGATAATATTATAGCAACAAAAAATGTTGAGGAACGATTTAAGCACATTAATAGTAAAGGTACATTTGAAATAATTTTAATAGATAAAGCAGAATTAGGTGACCGGGAACGGGGCCAGAATAAATCTTTTTTTCAAAAAAGTATGCGGTAATTGGGTCACTATATTTTAGTACATTTTAGATTTTAATAAAATAATATATTATATTATTTAATTTGATTTCCACTGCAGCAACGCACACGAAACTTTATTCGAAGCGACTGAGTGTCTTATCAAAAGGTAATAAATTATCCAATACTAAATGATATAGAATTTACTTCATACATATTCGTACATTTTTGTGTTATACCTTGTGGCACAAATACCCGGGTAATAAAATGCAAACAAAAATATATATTGGATATACGAATCAGGTAGGTAGCTAAAATGTGGCCCAATTATCAACCACCCGGCACCCGCACAATATTGGACTCCATCTTAATTTTAATTTTGTTCACATTTTTATTATTCATAATATTGCGATACAAATTAATTGGTATTATTATGTTATGTTAGGAATTTTTTTCGATTTATCCGTATCGGTTCCCGTTTGTCCGTTTTGGCTCCCTAATTATTCACTTGAAGGTGACCGAATCGGCTCCAACCCGATGCCTTCTTGAGGTGGTGTTGCCTAAAGCAAGTCAAGGGATATTTTCGTTTTTTTTTTGTCCGAGCTCAGAGCAGAGATTACTGTACCAAACTCATGGGACGCAATACGGCCACTTAATCTGAGCGGAAAGGTCACACACACTCATTAACTTCTAGCGGGAGCCGACAAAGTATCATCAAAATTTTCGTTTTTAAATAATATGTTATTATTATCAATATTTATAACATTTGAAAGTATTAAAATATGAAATATTATAACTTGCATACTATTTTTTATTATTATTACAGATTACAGATTACGGGCCGATAACAAACCAGTAGCAATATTTCTACTGCTGCTACAGTATCGCAATAACACATCAATGACGTGACTCACTTTATTTTAATCGTTTGATTGATTCAGTGAATTTAATATTGTAATCATAATATTTTACTGTATTCCGACGAACCTTGTAATTGCCATAACATCAATGTAATTATTTAATACGATATCTGTGTGGCATGTGCGACTCAATATGTTTACATACAATAATAATTATAATAAAAATGATTCTTATTTACGCATGTCGCATAAATTACAGAGTGATAAATCCAACAGACGACGACCGAACAATATTATATTTTCGCCCCGTTGGTTCTCGCGTGTTTCACACAAGTACACAACTATAAGGCAACAATATTATAATTTATAACCCTATTCCTATCTATATAATAATGTAATACCAATAATAATGGACTATGTGGGATATTATGGCATGCATCGATACAGTATGATAGCCGCAAATAATAATTACACATTTATTCGATACTCATTAAAATAACAATATTTTATGCGTTGTGGAAGTTGAGAACACGGACAGACGAGTCTTTTCGCGAAAAATTCTAAACGAAAACAAAATGATTAGGAACGGGCGCGCGTGGAATACATATAAAATCGCTGTCGTAATTGAAAACCGAAAAGAAAAACGGCGATCGTTGGTCATAGGTTAGGTCCTACTACAGACTATTACAACTATTACAACGAATTTATTACTATATTATATAGTACCTAATACACTTAATTATATTATAATAATCAACATAAGCATCAGGCCCAGATTTACGCAACTTGGCCCCAAAAACATAGGGACACTCACATATTATTTCCTTGAAGAACAAACATAATATAAAATTACATTTTTAAAAATATTTTAATTTTAGATTCAGTGAGCTGAGTGTTGATTCCATTGGTTTCATATATACCAATGTGTGTGTTTTTTTTTCTTTTATATTTTGTTATCCTTGTTCTAATCCACTGTATTCATGTTCAAAATCGATTTTTTCAATAGGTAAGAATAATTATTTTGCCACCTGTGTTTATATTATAAATATTGTGCCTACATGTAGGTATAGGTATAGGTACACGAAAAATATAAATTAATTATAGATTAGGTGATATTATAACGTTTTAAAATAAATTAACGGTGCTAAATGTTTATTATACTATTCCACGGTATTATTATGGACGTACCTACAACTTACCTATTAGAATTTTTTTTAAATGAATTATCAACTTTAGTTTAAATATTAGAAAATTAACAGGTGCATTGGTAAGTAGGTGCACTAAAATAATTATAGACTAGAGCTCTACGTTGGATTGCACATGGCCCCTGCAATTTATTGAATCGGGTCCTGACAAGAAAATTATAATTTTATACCTATATATTATCTGACCCAGCATTCAGCAATGCTTTACCATTGCAGCTAGATTTCTTAAATTAAATTGCTTCCCGTGGCTTGTCTGTTTATAAACCTGAGATTTTCTGTCGTGCTTGAGGTTTCGATCGACAAATTCCGGAAAAAATATTGAGAAGTTGATAATATGTATTAGGTTTGGTATATAGCTTTCAATAAGTGAAACAATTTTAGAATCGGTTCAGTATAGTTACAGAGATTACCTCCTACATATATAAACAAATTTTAGCTGTTGTTAATATTGTTATAAGTATAGAACTATAATAATAATAATAATATACTATGGAATAATATAATATCCTTTAAATTATACGTGACAATAATTTTAGTGTGTTATGTCTTATGTAGGTATACCTAATAAATAGGGGAATTATGCATCCATCATACTCACCGATGTTGTTGCTGGCATGTTTGATTTTCATTCCTGCAGCGTGCCCGCCGCCGGATCCCCGGCACTATCCCCTAGATCCCGACGTGATAATACTATGGACGACTAATGTACGATGATTGTGTTGTAAATGGTAATTAAATAACTAAAAAGTCATAAGAATAAATAAGTAACAAAAACTAATAAAATAAAAACGGCAGCCGCTGAATCGACTAAAAGTCACTGCGACGACGACTGCGATTGCGGCGGTATCGACGACGAAGATAATAATAATATAATCATTCGCAGCTGACCGTTGGACATTGTCGTCCGACGACCACTCGTACCGAGCGCACCTTCTACAAAGGGTTTTCGGTGTTTGTCACACTTGCCCACACGCGCGCGCCGGACACACACACACTCGCTCGCTCGTGCAGGAGGCGTCGCTGTCGGTTTTGCTGTCGGTCATCCCGCCGTTGACGTAAACATAAATTTTAATGACAACGTCGACGTCTAGTGTGTCATAGATGTGTTGCATACAGGGCGATTATTTTGGAAAAGCATCATGGTGTTAAGCAAAAAGTCTCATGGTTTATTCACGGTAAATCCGTGTTTTTTTCTCAATTGTTATTGTTTTTAAATCACATTTTTAATGTTATCGTTCATCAAGTTTTTACCGTTTGAAATGGTAATAACTTACATTTTTAATTTCATATTCCCAAGCCTTATATATTTCTTTGACGATTTCAATAAAGGTACCTGAAAATCGAATTTTAAATCTACAGTATCTACCCATAGTTAATAATAATATATAAGTTAAGTTTATAACTTTTAAGTATAAGAATTTACGTTTTAAAGTTTTGGACGAGGAGTGAGGTGGCACAAAGGCATTGGTGTACTTGTATCATTACTCCCCTTGTCTAAACTTTAAAACTTTAAACACTTCTATAGGTATAGCTGTTGTAATTAACTTGCAGCTATTGCAATAGTATAACATAGTGCACAAATATAATTATTAATTACAAGTTATATGACATTTTTTTTCAAAAATGTTGTTATTGGTTTTGAATGATGAGAGAAAAATATTTTCAAAAACACATACATTATTATTGAGAAAAATTACGGTTCAGTGATAACCTAATAAAATAGTCACCTTGTATACACCTCATATTTTAATAAACACTCATAAATGCATATTATATTAATAATATATTTGTATAAAATATTTTGATTAGAATTTTTGAAGTGAAAACGAATATTATTTACAATAATATATCTACAATACAAATATACTGTATACGTACAACGATATCATTTTACGACTTACTATTAGATATATTATTAAAATTATATCGATGACACTCGTGTAGTTCAGTGTTCTGATTTCTCATATTCATTTTTAATCTGAAGTGCCGACCGCACTAATAATTACTTCAATGCCTATAGGTTAGGTGCTGCAGATTTTTATTTTTACTCCATCCCTTTTCGTTTGTTTTAATTATTACTTTGTTTATTGAATGCATATTATTATTTATTACCTATCGGGATTAATGTTTAATATACGTAATAATTAAATATTATACATTTTATATTTTATATTTGTAGATGTATACGTCTTGTCGATTGTGCCCATACAAAAAATAAACTTTTAAATATACACGACTATAATATTATGTTCCTGTATCAATTATTCATTGGACTCTTAGCTCATCATAGAGATACAGGATTTTCAAAATATTTCATATTCACATTTTCCTATATTTATAATTTATAATAATTACGAATAAACCTACAAGAAATGTGTATTTAATTCTAGTAAAAACGTAAGTTCACTATCAAAAATATACGCACTAATGATGAGAACCTATAAGAACTTCTTAAAACGTTTTTTTTATTGTTATTAATTTTTAACTTAGAATGGTAAATTAAATTATGGCTTCTGGGGAAAATAGACACTAGACGGATACATTGTTACAAAAGTGACATAACAAAGAAGCTTTGGTTTTGATTAGTCAATAATATTATTATAGTGTCTCTTTATTATTAAAGGGTATACCTTCGTTTATTTACGTAGATTTATAAAACATTTTATGACAAAATTCATTAAAATCCCGAAAATGTGTAAATTATTTTTAAATTTAAATTCATGAAAGTTTCTTTTTTCATAGCGAACAAGTTTTTACTTTTTTTTTACCTTTTTCAATAAAAAAGTTCACCTGAAAGTTACGCTATTTAGCCATGAGGTATTATCGATTCTTATTATTTTTTTTTTAAATTATTAAATTGTATTATTTATGGGAGGACACACGCCTCCCTTATTTTAATGGTTGGTATTATAATCGTGCGTATGTCATAATATGAGAAAGCAACTGGTACATTTTTAAAATGCCAAAAACAGCTGTTGGGGGGGCTGGTCAACACCTAAGTTGCACTTATAGGCTATAGCAGGTGGATTGCCTACTTGATATGTTGTCACACATTGTTCAGGGTGGTTGAGCTGCATCTACTGCAACGAGGTACACCTAAAAGGCCAAAAGGAGTTGAACAATCACAATTTTTTTTAAAGTTATAATTTTTATGGGCAACGAAGTGCGCTGGATCAGCTAGTAGATTTATAAGTTTATAAAGTACAAATTTAAAATAAACATATTATTATTTATTGTTAATTTATTTACATTTATAATATACAGTATACACAATATACTATTATGTAGGTATACTTGTTGTTTGGACTTTGGATACATTTTGGCAATAAGTTGAAAGTTGAAACATGCCTAATTTTGATAATGGGTAAAAATGTCGAGCCTACAAACACATTTAAATATTTAACCAAATATACGTAAAGGGTAATAAATAATCATTAATATTTTACTGTCACTATCCATATTATTATAGTCCACCAAATGTATATGTAAACTATATTCATACAGATTATTTAAGTTAGGCTAGACATCCCCTAATCAACTCATCGTCTTATCATAAAAATATATATTATTTTAAAACGTAAAACGTTTATAAATAGAAATATATTGTACGTTTTCAGTTTAGGGAGAACTCTTGTTATGTTTGGGAATTTCTACTGAAATTAGTAGGTAGGTACCTAGTTTTGATTATAAACATCTTGTACACGCTCATTTAAATTGCAGCATTTTTTCATACTTTTTGTGTTTGTAAACTGTATAAATTCTATTTTAAAAGAATGAAATCTGCGTAAAATGTAATTTAGTTTAATTTAAAAATATCATTGTAAACTTTCGTTGCCATTAACTGTATAATGTGATCAGAGCGTAGATAATATTATTTATTTATATATGTAGGTTATTGTAGGTATACGTCTCTTTTAATATTATATAATATGTATTGTGCGTTCAATATACGCAATGTGAACAAATTAATCTAAATTGAAATTACAGCCATTTATATTTTTATTTACATATATTAATCATCTGAAAGGTAATTATAAAATATATTAGTAATTATAAAATCTAATAATTTATTAAACTGATGATTATAAATTAATAAATTACCATTGATCTCGTGTGTATTTTATTATTAAAATATATAGGTACTATCCGGCCCGCTATAATTATTAATATACGTCAGTGGTGAACGCCTGCAGTATTTGGTAATGCTACTTATTTTTTATTTTATTTTATTTTTTTTTATTGGAGGGTTAATAAACATCCTTAATGTTCTAAAAAAGAAAATGCAACAAACAAATAAAATAACTATCCAAAGCATATTATACATTTAGGTATTAATTATAGGTATATCGATTTACAACAATCGGATTTTCATTAATTATAATATTCCAGACTTTAGGTTGTTATGAAATAAGAAAAAAATGACCTTCAAATCACGTACATAATTATATGTGTATGGTGGATAATATATTTTAATCTATGCTATAAGACACAAGTTCTTATAAGTTATAACCAACATAGTACGGTAATGTTAAATGAATACATTTGAGAATAAATTTAGACAAGTGATTATCGTGAGACCCACATTAGAAAACTCATCTACACTTAAATAATGGGTGCGTCAACGTCTATTTCATTATTTATCATAACTTTTATCATTCTGTGAATAACTGAATATACATGGCCGTCATGACACCAGACACATTACAATAAACAGTGTGATTTACCGATCTGTGGTGCAGCACAGAAATCCAAACCGGCAATAAAATACACTATTAATTAATGAACGATTAGTTAATAATCAATTAAATTAAAAATTCCGTAGGTATATCCGTGTAAATATCGTATGTACTATACCCAATATACATAAATAAATAATATTAATTATGTGCCTGACAAAACTAAAATAACAACATTTCACAAAAATACATTACCACCAATAAACCATTTTAGTACAATGATTCATAACATCCGTTCACTCTCCAAGCACCCATCACCCAGGGACAATCATACAATAGAGGGTGAAGCCTGGGTGCTATAGTGATTGAACTCCCCTTAGATATAGGTATTATTTTAAAAATTCGTTCTCGTTTATCTTTTATAAAATCACGTAATACGCCTGCTTTAAAGTCTCTATATAACATAAGTCAATATACATGCACAATATACATTATATGTGTATGGCTTTGTATTATGGCTTATAACTTTTTAAAGCTACGGATATTTTATTTATACATTTTATAACTTATGTAACCTATATACCTATTATATAAGTGCATATTTTCTGTCTACCCCTCTTCTTCATTCGTAGATACACTTGCCTCCTATTAAATATTAAAACTCTCCTCAGACCCCTGACTCCAGCATTTTTGTAGCAAATATAGTTTACTTTCGTATTTTAAAAAGTACGAAGCATTCAATAAACATGGCACATTGGCGCGTTTCTGGCGTTGCTTCCAATTTCAATGTTGTTGTTCACTCTACGACTCTACGCATCAACCAGTTCCGTGGCATAATTTGGTCATGTTTGTGGGGGGGGGGATCAATAAACATTTACCTCCAGACTCCAACCCCCCCCCCCCAACCACAAAAAAATAAAATTGGTTTATATCATAAAAACCTCTCAGTTCAA